TAATACACAATTGACTGTCATTAGTTTTACACATTGTCCTAAATTCTAATAGACCTAGTCGATCCGATTAATGGATGTCTAGGTGCTAGGTACGATAGTCCTAAATGCAGAGAACTAATCGACTTAGTCGAAAAAAATAGGCCTAGTCAGCACCTAAGTGATGCCTAGGCGTTAGGCGCCCCTCAACCACCCGACTAGGACCTAGATAGTTTACTCCGCTAGTCAAATCTGATTACGGAATCCCGCTATTAACAATCCGTTAATATAATTCGCTATTCACTAAGTTAATTGCTAAATGTCAAACACGGTACCATAAAATATTTGAGTAAGGTTAATTAGTGTGTGGTTTAGGTCACTAGTTTGGTTGGAGGTGGGTTTGGGGGTGAAGGGTAGGGGGTAGGAGCAAGATTTGGGTGGGAATAGACTTTAGAGTGGGTGATAATTCACGAAGAGTTGAATGAGATTGACGATCATACATCCACCACTAACAAAAAAATTAAAATAAAGATATACTCCGTAGTTCATAAATATGACTCATTTACTCTTATTTTAGTGAATTTAATGAACTTATTTTTATATATGGTTAAATAAGTTCTAAGTAACAAAACAGCGTATTTTTTCATATTTTACTCTTATATTGAGTAATTTATACACTCTACTGAACGAGTTTTAAAGTGGGGAAATTAAATGTAGCACTGTTTCACTTTTTTTTCCAAATAATTTGTGTTCTAACTTTGCAATCTCGTTGTGTCACTACATGATGATTACTGAATGGGTGGATAGGTCGTCGATGCTAGAGTTTTTTATTTTTATTTTTTTTAAATATGCACACACTTTTATGAGTTTTATATACTCCGTATATGTTTTTTTATTAAATGCAACATTCTTAAATTGGGACAGGTTTTAATCTTGTGACCTCCTCCTTACTATTGTCACAATGATAATCACAAGGTGCTTAATGGGCACCAAACTAGTGATATTGTGCTCTTAATTGTTTATATTAATTAATTTTAGGCTAAATGGTCAAATAGGCCCTTAAACTAACTTAAGAAGTGCAAATCACCCCTTGTATTATTGTGTTGTTTAACAACACAGTTATCTTCAAAAATTCATTTGACTGCCTTCCCAATTCATTTTTAGCAGAAATTTGGTATGAGTAAACTAGACTTAATGAAGAAGATGCAAAAAAAAATTCATCAAAAAATTCCACCGGCAACCGCCCCAATTGGAGACGGCCGGACATAGCCTCCTATATAAGGGGTGATTTGCACTTTTTAATTTAGTTCCAAGATCTATTTGACCCTTTAATACCCTTTAATTTACTCAAATATTTTATGGTACCCATAAGGTACCATACCTTTGTCCACATGGACCGTACCAATGAGAATGTAGCAATTGAATTATTTAAATCTAAATTAAAAATGATAAAGTGATGTAATCTAATCAAATAAATGATAGGTACGGTACCCTATATTTTATAAAGGTATCGAAGCTGTCACCTACTTTGAATTGTTAGGATATATAAGTAGGTGGCGCCAAACAGTCTAGCCCGTGGTGTACTTCTATTAGCTACAATTACATTGGTATTGATTACTCGGCTCCCTCTCTCATTAAACAATTCATTCATAGTCTCATGGATTTGAATCATGGGAAAATTTGAGTTTGCATTCTATTTTATTGTCCAAATTGAATTTTGCATCTCGTTTTTAAAAATCTTTGTTTTTGCACCCTAACCCCGTATGAAAAGACTAAAATGCCCCCCATTAACAATTGCGTTGGGCTTCAACACATTCCTGATCGAGGGGCATTTTTGTCTTTTCACACGGGATTGGGTGCAAAAACAAAGATTTTTAAGAACATGGTGCAAAGTCCAATTTGGACAATAAAATGAGGTTCAAACTCAAATTATCTCTTGAATCATCTACCGCATGCACGGCACTCCGCCTAGGGCAGATCCGACGATAGCCAAGATTAGGCAGGGAGGGAGAGCAGTAACACACTAACATGTACTCTACTGCATCTGATGACTTATAAAAGCCAGAGACAAATACCTGACTGCCAAATTCAGGAAAAGAAACCGGATCCATAATCCAATAGTCCATACAAGCTAAGATATACTCATTTCGGGCACAATTAGTAATAAGATTACACAATCCAATAGTCCACACAAGGTAAGATATACTCATTTCAGGCACAATTAGTAATAAGATTATCTAGTAAAGAAATCATGCTAAGTTTTATTGTTCTTCTAAAATATGGATCATGGATGAATGTCTGTAGTTAGTTGATGACTTGATGTTATAGTAAATGCGCTTTCAAAATTCAAGATAATTAGTAACTGTAATTTCACTTAATCAAAGATCGATTAACAAAGCCAAGTATCATGTAATCTTATGATATATTACTTAATTACACTTCAAAAAGAGGTCACAAGTTGGAAAGATGTTAAAAAAATAGATTGATTAACAAAAATAAATAACCGACCATGTCCTATTTAACAACATATGTCACGTCTGGTGGCTTTACGGCTGCCTTGTTTTTATTTAGGCTGTGGCTGTGTTTGCTTTTTTCGCTTTCAAAAGTGGTCTACAAATAGGTAAATGGTACATATTCATGCAAAATGCGACTAACCTAACGCTGTATTAGATGAGAGAAATCTAGACATTGTACACAACATTTTACACACCATTTTTTTCGTTTTCGGAAGACAATCGCTCTATAATATAGGATTTTTTTTGTTGGTGCAAAAAACTGTTTTCTTCACAAAACGAAAAAACAGCCAGTGGCGGAGCCACATTGGTTCTAAAGTGTTCACATGTAGGTATCCATGTGTAAATTTAACATGATTATTTATTACTCTTAAAATTTCTAGTTGTATAAAAGAATTGAACTCCCAAAACTTGAATTCCAAATCCGCTACTGAAAACAGCCTGTAAAATGTTGTGTACAATTTGTTGTATACACCAAACATGATTGGTGTTTGATTTATTATATATTCTCAAGTCATTTTTCATCAGTTTTTATACTTAACAAAAGTGTAATACTGTAATTGACTCATATGATCAAGGAATTTTAATTATGTACGGTATAGTTTGTCTTACTATAAATGAATTTGAATTCAGACTAAGTGCGGATTGAAAAAGCACCAAAGTTTGAAAATAAAAGTCACTTTAATTATTGAAAAAGTAAAAATAGAAATGCATGATTAAAAAAACTTTAATTCTCTATACTATTTGACTAAATAATACTCCCTCCCGTAGCCATATTATTTTCTGTTTTTTCATCCATTTTTTATTTAAACTTTTAATTTATTTTTTCATACTCTCTTTTATATGTTTTCCGTTTTTCTTCAATTCCCTATTTTTTCTCTTTCTCTTTCATATTTGTTCTACCCCTTCATTACTATATACTATTTCATCAAAAATATATGGTACTACTCCTCTGTTCTTTTAATTTTTATGTGTCTTACTTTAGAAATTGAAAAGGTAGAAATTGTGATTGAGATTTAGACAATAAAGTAAAATGTTGTATACAACATATTTCTTTTCAAAAAAAGAAATGTGACACCTATTTTGAAACAACCCAAAATGGATAGCAGTACAAGTAAAATGAGACAAAGAGAATACTATTTACTTAAGAATAGAGACACTATAAAAAGGTGTAAACCAAATTTAAACTCATTTTCAGTTCTTACATATTTCAGTTTAGGAGCCGCTTGGTAATATTGAAACTAATTGATTAGACTGAATATGATGAAAATGGCGAAATTCTAACTGAAGTGAATAAAGTTAAATAAAGTTGCTAAATTGAATTGGCTGAATTTGCTAAAATATGAAAAATTATATTTAAAATATATTTCATTGATGAAATTTAAATAAAGTTATACGGAGTATGAAAATATCTAAAATAATCTTCACATTACTTATTTTTATTATTATACAATTCAACAACGAAACTACAAGTTACATGTTTTTATAAAAAAATGGACGATGAGCTGAAAACTGAGGTTATCAAACAAGAGAATCTAGATTATGAAGAAATGTAGATTTAATACCATGGCATGTATTTGACTCGAATATATGTCTATAATGTCTTGTAACTAATAAGATTGTTCGCATTAAGGACTTTTCAATCGGAATATACAATTTCTCATGAAAAATCTTATTGTCACAACTTTTATTACATTTTTAGTGCAAATTCTATTGTACATTTGGATAAAAAAATCGTTAATGTTACAAAAAGTACAGATACATTTATTTGTTACTGTACATGATCTATGGATAAAAGTTGCAAGAATATATATATCGGGAATCTTCATTAAATTATTCAAAGTTATTCAAATGCAGTAAATTAAAAATACTATCACTAGTTACGGAGTAAAACTTTATCAAAACAAGCTCAACATGCTTTAAGAACGGTTACAAACACTCCCTAAACTCAATATGCATCCAACCCTTGTAGTATATATTAATGTTTAACACTATCTTAGCACAAAAACAATTATCCCAAGTCGAAAAACTAAAGTTTATTATGTTAGTACAACAAGTGACTACATAATGAATAATATTTAGTCCGAGTGGAATGGAGCAATTCTAAAATCGATTGCCCAATGAATATAGTATTTTCTTATTGACAAGATGTAAAATTTTGCTCTTTTCCAATGTGGTCAATCTTATAGTCTTAGGGATCACCGATCACGGTAATATATACTTAATTCGTAAATTCGTATACATTATAATATATGTAGATATAATAAATAATACTCCGTATTAATTATGAAACCCAAATCAACCTTAATTTATTTAAAACAATGCTCTTAGCCCAAAATCTTCCTCATATAATTTGGGTGGGTAGTGATAGAGTATGTACTACTCCGTAACTAATAACAAATGAAAATCATCAAATGCAAATGTCGATGGATAGGACTAAAAAATTAATGATAACTCAATATGGAAACAAATAATGTGATAATAATCACAAATGAACAAGAAATTTGAGAACCTACTCTTGTTTAATTTTCCACTCGTATATAATATATATCAATCGTTCATTATATGTTAGTTTTTCATCCAAGATATTTGAACACTAAACAAGAATAATGACCACTAAAAAGAAAAGGAAACAGTGAAAATTTAAAAATTCCCCTCCCAAGAAAAAGAAAGAAAACCTGGCCTGAGATAGATGAAATTAAATAAAACTTTTGCATATAATAAATATATTTACCAAGAACCTCCTCCAGCACCCAAGACTCCATTATTCCAGTATCCAGATGGCTGGTCTCTGTCTTCCCCAGCCCCATCATCACCACCTGCACTTCCACTTTTCAAATCCTCAAAAGGGAAGAAAAGCCTTCCACTTCCACCCCCACTACCACTTGTCTCTTGCATGCCTTGAAGATGATGATGATGACCATTATACCCTCCATCCCCATTCCCCATCCCATCCAAGGAGAAGCTTAGGGTTGGCTTGAACTCATCATGCAGCTGATGAGAAAATGATGAGTAGACTGAGTTGTTGTTTGGATCAGGAATGGGCATGGGCAGGAATGAACTAATCAGCCCTCCTCTTGTTGTTGCTGATGATTGAGCTGAGGTCATCCCAGTCAACAGCTCCAAAGCTGAAAGGCGTTGACTTGCAGAAGTTGATGATGGATGATGGTGGTTTTGAGGATGATGGTGGTTTTGAGGATGATGATGGTTTTGAGGATGAGGATGATGGATACCCTCCTTGTTGTTCCTCTCATAGTTGGGGACTTGGATCAGCTCAGCTATAGTCTTCAAGTCTTGATGATGGGAGAAGCTGCCCAAGCTGAGATCTTGCTGGATCTTGTTAGGGTTTTGATGGTGAAGTGGGAATGAGATAGGTGGCACCATCAGATCTGAAGGAAGCAGCTTCTTGACTTCAGAAGCAGCAGTGGAGGAAGGAGATCTGAGCTTGTTCTTCCTTGAACCTCCCCCCACTGGAATATTCCTCAGTGATCCACCAGCAGTCCAATACCTCCTGCATGTCTTGCAGAAATACCTTGGCTGGGAGAGGCTGTAATTGTTGTAGTAGCAAAACTTTGTGTTGGTAGAGTTGCATCTTGGGCAGTTCACAGCCTGATCTTTCTGTGGCCTTACCTGCAGCTTTCTCTCCACACTTGTAGTAGTATTAGTACCAGTAGTACCTCCAGTTTTATTGATTGGATTATTTGGTGGTGGTACTATTTCTTCCATTTGTTTCACCACTATCTCCTACATATAAAAGAAAGAAAGAAAAAGCAAGAAAACCCATAAAAAAAAGTAAATTTCATCAACCCATCACATATACATCAGAGAGGAATAATTTCAGGGAAAAAAATTAATGGGTGGAGAAAAAATCAACAAAAGTTGTGTGCTTTGCACTTTTCCATTCCATCAAAAAAGAAGATCAGAAGGCATCATTAACCAAGAAGAATATAAAATACCCATGATAGAAATTTAATCAGCTTTTCTGATCACACACATAACCAGAAGATAAAATAAAAAAACACATGACAATTAATTATAGGCACAGATTGAGGCAGATGATATGGATCTCTAATCTCCAGATATCTATGCTGCTCAAAGTTAAGTGCATATATTCTCAGGCATATATAAATCTCTAGCTATATACCTTTGGCCATTGAGCAAGATCCATGAATGAATTGAAGAAGAAGCTGGAGAGATCAGATGATGGAGTACTATCTAGCTAGAAGAATTGCATAGAAGAATAATATTAAAAAAATTGATTTTCTATCTTGAAAAGAAAAACAGGAGCTTTCTGCTCACTAGTGGGTTGAAAAGCAGGAAAAGGAATGTCGGGATGGTTCTTTTGTGGACGTTCTAATGTGCTTTTATGTGTCACGTATGAATGGACTATCGAAAGAGAGGATTTGAAGTTAGTGGCCGGGGATTATACGGCGTATTCTTTTTCTACTATACAGTATTATTTTAACGTATTATGATTGTTATCGCATATAATTGGTAAGCTTTTTGTTAAAGATTTTCAATTTGACAGACTACAAAATTACAATCTATGTAGACATGTAAATATGTAATAACCCCTGAGCTGTTTTATGGACTGTGGGCAGTGGCGGAACCAGCTCGAAGATGTTGGAGGGGCACACATAATGGGAACGAGAAGATCTCTGACAACTCGACAAAGTGGACGCCCTGCTATGGCCCAAAATTGAGATCTCCGACAAGGCGGGCGGAGGCAAGAAGATGTGCCGAAAAGGTTGTGACATGCAAAATTACGAAAGGGATGGGGGACAAGTCGGGAGGCGATAGATTGATTTAGGGCCTAAATAAAACCTTGAATTATTCTCAAGCTTGCCAAGCATTAGTATTGACCCAAAATTGTCAATTAAAGGCCCAATTTAAATTCAAAATAAGTGATAAGCAATTGAGATGGTCTCCATAGTAAGTATAGACTACAACAATAGTAATAAATTTCCATCTTTTCCTTTCCTTCTAGCCGACACACGAACACCAGCGCTAGAGAAAGGATGTTTTTACTTGGACTGTAATTCGTCCCAGACCAGATCAGACCAGATCTGACCAGACCACACTTGGATAGTTATAAAAATACAAAGAAACCAGACCAGACCAGCAAATTACAGTCCAAGTAAAAACATCCTAATAAACCATGCGAATAGATCCCTTCGTTGTTCTCTAGTATATGTATATATATACTCCCTTCGTCCCGTTGGAATGTTCTCGTTCACTATTCATTGGTCAACTTAGGTCACTCCTAATCTTTTACTTTATATATCAATTTTTTATCAAATTGAACTTTTCTTGATTAGGCTTTGTAGCGGTTTTAATGTAGTTTCTGAATATGTAAATTTTATTTACTAAAAATAAGCGGAGTGTGAACAGGGTTCGAGTTGCTTTATCGTCAGTCAAGCATCGTAAACCGAACGGGAACATTCCAACAGGACGGAGGTAGTACTAAACAAACAAAAGTCTGCAGGGGCACGTGCACCCTCGAGCTCTATACTAGTTCCGCCCCTGACTGTGGGTTACACGGCATCAAACAATAATATTTTCAAAAGGGAGTATGCATGTGTTTATTCATTAAAAATGTAAATAATGCTTCTTTGGGTTTGTATATTAGTTTGAGTGAGTTAATTGGTAATCTGTTGGGCGTGTTTGGTTAATGGCTTATCAGTAATTTTTTAACTTTTTGGAGTGACTTTGAATGTTTGACTTTGTCAAACAACTATTACAAGTGTAGTTTGGTAAATAATTTTTTCTTTGGCCCGTTGCTACAAATTCAAATAATAAATTTTGAGTTTTTTAAAAACTTTTAATGAAATAAATCTTATCACTAAAGTTATTATGTGTATAGTGTCATGAACACTTAAGTGTAATGATTAAACATAATTTATTATTACTAAAGTTAATATTATATGCAAGAGCAATTGGATGTGCCGAAGCCTACCTAATTACTATCGTATTATACTCCGTATGTAGTAGACAAGTAGTATTTCTTTTTTATGGAAAGTGGCTTATATTGATATCACAACATTGATATATTAAGAGTTTAATACTCCCTCCGTTCTTTATTATCTGTCCTCTTAGGCTTTGGCACGGGTTTTAAGAGGAAAATAGTAGGGGTAGTGTAAAAGGTGTAATGAGTAGTGGGTAAATGAAAAAGTAGGAAAGAGAAAGGGGTAATGGTAATAAAAGTGGGGGTATAAAGGTATATTTAAAGTAAAAACTTTCCTTAAATGGAAAGGAGGACAAATAAAAAAAAACGTCCCAAAAAGGAAAGAAGGACTTTTATTAAAGAACGGAGGAAGTAGTTAAAAAGACCGTTTGTTTCTAGTAGTTATTAGAAAAGAGAGGAAAGGGTAGCTAATTGTTTTCCAGCCCTGATGTATTATTTATAGTGAGTAAAATACACTTATTCACTAACGTTAGTTTCTGTCAAAATAAAAAACTAATGTTAGTCAATAAGTGTATTAAGAGGATGTTAAAATATGAAATAGTTTCAAATATATAACCAAAATAAAAGTAATAGACAAAATGCGACTCTAATAAGTTTAGTGACTAATTATATTCAGATGTTACATCATAGTAACTATAAAACTTACATATAGTAATTTATAGTCACATTTTTGTCCATAGAGTTGTTAGTAGTACTGTCTTAGGAAAAACCTCTTAAAACACACGTAGCAATAATTGAAAGTTAATGTAACTTTTGATTATTACATCTTAACATTTCCCTTAATACCAAAAGTTAGTTTGAGAATCAAAGAATTAAAAACAGTACATCGCAGACTGGTCACTCTTAGCATGTCTCTGAATTTCTGAAAATCTTCAGTGCAATTTGTGACTAAGTACTCCAAGAAAGGAAAATTGGTTTCTATGTGCTTGTTTCCGTCCTAGGTAACTAGATTTTTGGCTAAACTAGTGTAACACCCGAGACATGCCCCGGTAATGTCACGTTGATATGAATTAAAATGGTAAATATCAATAGATGTTGCAAATTATTTAAAGAATTTCTTAATAACATCGCTTATGTTGAAAGACATGTTTACTGGTATTTTTTGAGAAATTAAACATGATTTTAAAGAATTCATGTGTATATTATTATTATTATTATAATTGTTATTACTACTACTGTAAGTATTATTAATTTAATTGTTATAATTATTGTTTTGTTGTTGTTAATGTTGTTATTGTTATTGATGTTATTATTGTTATTGTTAGTGTTGTTGTTGTTGTTGTTGTCGTTGTCGTTGTTGTTGCTGCTGCTGCTACTACTACTACTGTCATTGTCATTGTCGTTTTGCATGACATGAAATTCCAAATTGTATAAATTATGAGACTAAAGCAATTTCATCTCTTACCTGGTCAATTATTTATGAGGTTAATTAGATAGGTCTTTAATGCATTCTATCTAAGCTATTATCAATTAACGGTTTTAAAATGATCAAAATCATTGTGATTTTTTAAAAATTTAGTCTGGCATTCAATCTCTTTTGTACAACAATTTCAAGTTTTAGGGGAATTTGACTCTACACTCTATTTTTGAATGACATTGATTGAACTTTGTACTCATTTTTCAGAATTATTAATGTGTGCACCCCATTTGATATAAAATCATTTGACTTGGCACCCTCGTTCCTTCATAATGTTTGAGGTGTAAACTCCAATATCGCCCAAAAAATGAGGTGCAAATTCAAAATCCTCCTAAATTTTATATGTATGACTTCTGAGCTAAATACTTCAATTAATGAAATGGGGTTAAATAATTTTTATTTGCAATCCAGATAATGATATAATTAGGATGTTTTTACTTGGTCAGAAATTTTCTAGTTTGATCTGGCATGGTCTAGTCTGGTCTGGTCTGATAAATATCTAGTCCCTATTTATTTTATAATTGTAAAAATTTGGTCTGATCTGATCTGAACTGGTTTGATTTGATTTGGTCTGACCTGGTCTGATCTAGGACTGAAAGCAGTCCAAGTAAAAACATCCTTACACAAATAAACATATTAAATTTAATAAATATTTATCAAAGTTATGCAACTTGCTTGAATATATAGGGATAAAAGTTTATCTCATATTAAATGTTTATACCCATAAACTATTTAACTTTAGCAACTACTCCGTATATTTAAATAAAGTTAAGTATAATCAAGTTGTCCCCGGCCTTGAAAAAGTCGTATTGTCTTTACTTTTGAATAAACGGTTAAGTTGCTTATTAAATTCAGGAGTTCTTTTGGTATGGTTTTATTTGGACGGTCTAATTTTATCTAGTCAAATTTAGTCAAGTCTAATATGATAAATGTTTGATCTTTGTGTACGGTCAGAAATTTGGTCTGATATGTTAAAATCTTATCTTATTTGATCTGATCTGTTTAAGTCTGATCTGAGATTGAAATCAATTCAAGTAAAAACATCGTTAAATGTGTGATGTATATATTCCTTTCAAAAAAACTGAATAGACGTATTAATCTCCTAGTGGTATTAAATGCATATTCATCCTAACACTAAACATGATTCTTAATTAAGCGCTTTATTTATTTTAATTTTAAAAAACATCTTATTTATGAATAATAAACGTATAATGCCATTAAGTGTACATCAATTAGGATGTTTTCTTTTGGACTGAAATTTGCTGGTCTGGTCTGGTCTGGTCTGTTTAAGTCTGGTCTGGTCTGGTCTGGTCTGTTTAAGTCTGGTCTGGTCTGGTCTGGTCTGAACTGGTCTGGTCTGGTCTGGTAAACGTCTGGTCTCTGTGTATTTTATAACTACGGAAGTCTGGTCTGGTCTGGTCTGGTCTGTTTAAGTCTGGTCTGGTCTGGTCTGGTCTGTTTAAGTCTGGTCTGGTCTGGTCTGATCTGTTTAAGTCTGGTCTGGTCTGGTCTGGGACTGAAAACAGTCCAAAAGAAAACATCCTTAGTCTACTTAACTGATTCAGCTGATTATTGGTTAAAGTGACTGAGTTAGCTAATTTCGCTGATTTATGAAAGAGTTATACGGAGGAGTATGAATTTTATCAATCCAGGACCTGAAAGATACATGAATCATCAATCTAGGATTGATAATTCGTGTATCTTTCAGGCCCCAGATTGATATAATTCCTAAAATGGAAAAATGAATAAAATATATGAAAAATAGATAAAATACTCTTCTACACTAATTTCGTCCAACTCAGTTAGAAAAGTAATTTCAACCTTAATTACTTATTTTGATTATTACATAACTTATCGTGCAAAATCGAAAATTACGTGTTTGGGTAAAAAATTGACCGCTGAAACTGATAAGCCGAAAAACAGGATCTATTTAATAAGATATGCTTTTAATTAATTTATCTATGGACGAAGTGTTTTTTATCATA